GCAAGATAATTATGGTTGTTGACAACTGCAGTGCCCATAACTGTACAGTCGAACTGAAGAGCATCAATGTAGTTTTTTTGCTGCCCAACACTACGTCTGCTCTTCAGCCGATGGACCAGGGTATCATTCACTACGTGAAGTCGAAGTACCGCAAGCACCTGCTAGAGCGAATGATCCTATGCTCAGAAGCTGGAAAGTTGTATCAAGTGGACTTACTCGGCGCAGTGCGCATCATCGCCCACGTGTGGAAAAACACTCCGCCGCAAGTCATCGCCAACTGTTTTCGGCACAGCGGTTTTGTGAGGCCCGAGCATGCAGCAGTAGCTGACGATGGCATCGAGGAGGTGTCAGCCGAGTCCACCGACGATGACTGCCCGACTTTCGATGCTGTCCTTCCCACAGATGTGACCTTTCAGGACTACATCGCAATTGATCATGGTGTCACCACGAGTGGTCTCCTGACCGATCAAGAGATTAATGATGGTGTCATGGGCGCCCATGAAGACCACGATTCCGACGAAGAATCATGCGCAACCTCATCGCACCTCACGGGAAGTCTTGGAGGCGCTGTTAATATTAGAGGACGCTTGCCTGAACACTCCCGACAGCTTGCGTTCTGTTGGCCATTTGGAACAGTTAAGAAAAATTGTGATGTCAGCCGGAACCTGCGCGAAAATGCAGACGACAATTACAAAATACTTCAACAAATAAAGGTATGCTTCTGCAGATTGATTTTAAATGTTTTCCCTGCTCATTCGTTAATTCGGCATTCGGTTAATTCGGACAGTTTTTCCGGTCCCGTAAAATCCGAATTAACGAGCTTTTACTGTAGCTGTGGCTTTCTGGCTTCTTTTGAGGTCTTGATTTATTGTCCTGCTTTATAATCTAACTTCGACTGTAAATGTTAATGGCTGTGTACCTGCTCCATTTTGAGCGACTATTCTTTTCTCCTTTCAGCAGCAAATGCCTGACAGCCCTACAGCACCTGGTCATGGTGGCAAGTCGCTTTTTGGAGAGTTATTTGGTGTTGTCACTGAAAGAGTTGTTCTGTCTAGAGGCAATATTCTCCTCATGGTGCTGAAGCATGCTGTCAAAAATAATTCATCGTTCGCAGGCTGACCAGCATCTTACACCTTATCAACAGAATTTTTGAACGTCCAATATTGCCTCATTCAAGATACGAGCTCTCAAAACTTTTAGCAAAACAGGCACAACAATGACATGTTGTTTTTGCCCCGAATGCTTCACACATATAGAAAATGCTGAAACAAATGCCTCTTTTCACTGCATAAAGTGCAGACACAAAACTAGTGTTTCCAGTCTATTTGATATGCCATTTTTTGTGACTTTTGATGTGGAAGCACAGTTGCAAAGATTGATGAAAGACTGTACACTTCTTGACCTAACAAAGCCACTTCACCATGATGGCTCACTGGGTGATCTGTATGATGGCAAAATGTACCACAAATTTGCAACTGCAACGCAGCAGTGTGGGCCCAGAATCAGCTTCACATTAAATGCTGATGGCACAGCGCTTTTCAAGTCAAGTGGCACGTCCATTTGGCCTATTCAGTTAATTGTAAATGAGGTTCCGGCTGAGCAGAGGATGTCAAAACTTATGCTTGCGGCATTGTGATTTCGGAAGAAGAAGCCAAACATGGAGCTTTTTCAGAGCACATTTGTTAAGCAAATGAGCCAGCTTAGCGAAGATGGCTTTGTCTTGGAGCAAAAGGGGCAACTTCAGACATTTAAAGCTTATTGCATTTGTTGTGCAGTTGACTCAGCTGCCAGGGCACCTATGCAAGGTGTCACTCAATTTAACGGTTATTTTGGGTGTAACTGGTGTTTACAGAAAGGTGAACAAGCTGGTGGTTCAACAAGTACCCTGTTCAGCCAGTTAACCCCACTGAACGTACAGAGAGCCAGATGGTTGAAGACATGACAACTGCAGTTAGGGAAGGGGTGACCATTCATAGTGTAGAAACGGCATCTCCATTGATCAACCTGCCTTATTTTCATATTGTATCAGGATTTGATCCTGATTACATGCATTGTATTTTACTTGGAGTAGGACAACAATTTTTAGAATTATGGTTCAAGTCTTCTGGTAGTGCTTACAGTCGCCGACCGATTTTTCGGACCTGGCGGGGACCGAAAAAAAGTACGAAAAATCGAACAGTCCGAAAAATTCGTTGTCGCCAAAAATCTGAAGTTTATTGCATCAGGCAGGTTTAAAAAAGTCCTTGATGCTGCCTTGCCTCAAACTACGCTTGGAGGCAATTTGGTTTGCCCGTATTTGCGCCAAGATGACATCGTCGCCGTAAACGCTCAACAAAATTGTCACCACGTTGGCGATCTCCGCCGCCGACGGCTGCGGGCGGTCGTCGTTGTCGTCATCCGACGACAACGACGACCGCCATCCGGCGTCGACCGTCATCCGGCGACATCTAGCTGCGAACGTCCACTCTCTATTAGCTTGATTATGGCAGCTTTCTTCTCCATCGTCAGGGTCGTATACTTCCCACGCTTCTTCACACCACCTGGCTCCCGCGATGGCACTGATGGCGGAGCCATGGCACCGAGAACACAAAATTCGATGCCGCAGATAGCCGCTGCGAAGCACACAACATCTCGACGCTACGCGAGACAACACGTGCAGAATGGCGACTGAAAAAAGCTGCAACGACGATAAAAGAATCCTTCTTTCGCCTCCTTTCCGTGCGATGTGATGACGATAGTGCTGACCGAAGACGAAAAAACGGCATCCATCACCGCGTCTTTTAAAAAGCAAACACGGCCTCTGAAACTTAAAATATGGCGTGCGCATTCCAATCTCGGAGGCAGAAAAGGCATCTGAAGACCAAGCTTAGCCAAGCCGACGGAAAATCCAACATGGCGGCGTTCACAATGGTTTGGAGCGTGGCACAAAACGAGCGATTTAGTCCGAAAAATCGAACTTTCAGGGGCAAATTCGTCCGAAAAATCGGTCGAAACAATGCATTAGCTCTATGGGATCCCTGACGGTGCATTTATAAAGTCCGGAATATCCAACAAGTCCGAATTTTTGGAGTCCGGAAAATCGGTCCGCGACTGTACTCCCTAAGTCGTAAACAACACACAATCGATCAGAGGCTTATGGCTATCAGGCCGCCAAAAGATGTGAAAAGATTGCCGAGACCGACGAAGGAGCGAAAATGGTGGAAGGCGAAAGAGCTGGAAAATTGGATATTATACTACAGCATTCCAGTATTTGATGGTATTCTTGACAGAAAATACCTTCAGCACTGGGCATGCATGGTTGAAGCTTTGTATATTATGCTGCAATGTAGTATTGAAACTTCTGAGCTGGCTTGAGCTGAGAAACTCTTGTTGAAATTTCATGTGCGTTTAGAAATGATTTTTGGAAAAGTTTTTATGATGTATGATATGCACCAGCTGACGCATATTGTAAAGAGTATTCATGACTGGGGACCCCTGTGGGCACACTCTGCATTTCCATTTGAATCAGGAAATGGGAGCCTCAAGGAAGCTATCGAAGCTGCAAATGGGATTCCTCATCAGCTATGTAGAGTTCTGCAAATTGAAAATACTGTGATAGAACTGCAGGATCTGGCTGTCAGCCCTAGTGTGGTGCAGTACTGCAATTCTTTTGATGCCAAAGTCACACAGAAAAGCAAAAGCAGTAGCGATGGCACCCGTTTCTTTGGAAGTGGTACTCCTATTCCACCAGCCCGTTCATCGCATGAGCAAGAAATCTCTCAACCTTCTGTACAATACAGAAGAATGATGGTAAATAATTCAATCCTGACAGACTGCTCATATGCATGAAAGAAGAAGACTAATAGTTCAGTTGTTCAACTGCTGGATGAGTCATTTGCCATTATTGAAAAGATCATTTTGAGTGGTGATAACACATCCATATGTGTCGCGAAACTTCAGTGCCGGCCAGTAAAGTATGACTGTGACTGTAAACCATGTGCAAAAAGTGTTATTCAAAGAGCCGCCTACAGTAATTATTCAGCCTCTAGAAATAAGAAGTGTTAGTGTATTAATCAATCTGGAAAATGTTTCATACGTATGTGCACCTCCCAGCACCCTATCTCTGTAGTCTTCTTGTTCGACAATTCTATGTTCCCAAATGCTCTTGATACATCTGATAATAGAATGGCCTAGAAAGTATGAACACAATTTTAAATAAGCAAAAAAAATGCAAAGATTAAATCGTAACCCAACTGAGCAGCACTCCTGCATGTGCACTGTGTGGGAGGGCGTGTGAAACATGCACTCAGTCCTGCACGGAGGACAAAAATAGTAAAGAGCTGGCAGGTGCAGCCGATTTAAGGGCACTCAGTGTCTGTGCGTCCATATCTTAGGGCTTATGTCTTTGTAACTGCCAGGATAAGCAGATGCAATTTCGATGAATTCAACATCCATAAATCACCATTTTCATTCGACCCACCACCATACGAGACAGTTGTTTGGGAATGCTGGTAACCCAAAGCAGCACATATAGCTGCAACAAGAAAATCAAGGGTAGCCCCAACCACAGATGCGTGTAAAGTGTGCGGGGAAATGGGGATTAGCAAGGAGAAATTTCCCCCTAAGAACGTCGTTCACGTCAACGAGAAAGGGTTTTTCACTAAGGAGACTGTGCTGGAATGGTGCCCATGCGGACCTCAGGTCCAAGAGCATGCTTGTGCTCGACTCATTCTGTGGTCACATTACGCAAAGTGTGACCGGAACCGTGGCAGACCTTGTTAGCCAGTAGGCGACCATCCTGGGTGGCGGCATTCGTCAGCATCGCAGCTAATGTGTTGAAACGTCATCCCCCCCCCCCCCCCCATAAAGATATATCGCTGCCACCTGTAAACCTGAATGCTCCTTTCCCATGATAAGAGCAAGGAGTATAGTATGGACCTCCTCGCCTACATGCCTTATTGTTCATGCGTTGAGGCAGGCGGAGGCTGCCGTTATTTGACAGTGTTTTGAATGCACCGCGGTTGAGAAGGAAGAAGCGATCTCCATAGACTGCTCTGTCGCATGCCCATTCGAAGAAGAAGAGAAGACCCCCTGCGCTAGCTGTGAGGCTCTCCATGTGTACGACGAAGAGTGCACTCCAGCTGGATTTTCAATGACACAAATGACAAGTCTGCAATGCAGACGTGTTACGCCAATGTCGACAGCGACATTGCTGCGAGAGCGACAGACTCGACCTTATAGTGTTGACAGCAACAACGAGACCTACCGAGTACACCCTTGGCGGTCATCATCGATGCTTCGAGTGCAGACTGTAGCTGCGTGAAGCATAACAACAAAGAGGGCGAGATACTGCATTTCATGGACAAGCTAGAAAACATGACATGCAGTGCTCGAAACTACTGGAAGAGACAGTCCTGCATGGAGAAATTTTTTTTTTTCGAATGGCAGATTTGCAACAATAAAGATGCGACTTCACAATCTCATTTTCTACCAGGTTTTGCGTTGCTTCGGATAATTGGGAATCCTGCTTAATCGGGATAAGAGAGGTTCTACTGTATAGAAAACAAATAGTAAAACAAATGTGCAATGTTGCCAGCGCTCCTATAAACATTACTGCCAACATGTTGCTGTGATAAAAGCCTAAAAAATTTCTTTTTATTTTAGCTTGAATGAGTTGTAGTCTTTATAATCATTCCTGTGAGTGAGATTGTTTTGAGCATGATGGGATGCAAAACCTTGCATCTAGGCATTGCAATGCCTAAAGCTAGAAAAATTGCCGTGCAATATGGCAACAACTCCACCTTCATCGAACTCTGTAATGTAGTTTTACATTTACAGAGTATAATGGAGTTCGGCGGTAGCTACAAGGGTATCAGCGATGAAACAGCACCTCTTTTCTAGCGACTATTTGTTGTGTGTGCACCTCAAACTTCCCCGACGCATTATATTCGAACGAGTGAGACGATATTCACGGACAGGCCACTGTGGTATTGTGGCACACCAACTGCTACAGCATATCCATGCTCACGAATCATGCAATTATATTCATTCACTTGATAGGCCACGACTGCAACACCGGTAGACCGTGCAGCATCAGTTCAGGATAAAACGGGCCGCCTGCAGAACCTCTTCGAGCGAGTGGTCTAGCCCCGGGGCATGTAGCACCTGCTCCTGCGCCGTCCTGAACTTCTCCAGCAGATCCGCATCATGCTCGAGGAGCTTGGACTCCACTTCCGAAATGTAGGCCCCTGCAGGTTAGGAAACACACTCGAACCTCATAACGAACCCGGATATAATGCAATATCGGTTATAACGAAGTACATGAAAAATGGTCTCGCAATAGATAGTGTTATGAATATACCTTTATCCCAAATATATGGATATAACAAACTTATTTTCGTGTAAGATGCAACTTCATTATAACAAGGTTTGAGTGTAGATGCACGACTGGGCAGCTAGGATCAAACAAAGGCCACACAGTAAAGCCTTTTTATAGAGATGCCATATCCAACACAAGAATATCACACATCTGCCTCTTGCCATTCCAAGCCCCCTTTTGCTCGTCTTTTCTGCCCGCCAGGTTCCCCTCTCGTGCTCCTTCTTCAACTTCTTATTATTCATGTTCTTTCTTTTTTCCAACTCTGCTTCAATGTATGATCTTTTTCGTTTATGCATTTCTTTGATTGATACTGTTCTTTTCTCTTGTTTCTTCTGCCTCTTCTCCTTCTTCAACCACGAGGCGACATGCTCATGACACCTTGTCAGTGCTGATTTACGGTTGTTTTATCTGCACCCACCAAGCTCCATTGAGTATCGCTGAAGCTGAAAAGAAATCCCGATTGATCGTTATGCCAGAGAACACCTTCAAGGTAGGCCAGTACTATAGTCTCCAGTTGCGCTCGTTTTGCGTCACTTTGCAAAAGCTTTTTTGTATAGGTGCTCTTCAGATGAGCTCTATTTGCCTTGGGTAAACACAGAGTGTCCTTTTATATGCTTTGTTCAGCAAGGTTGTCACCAGCAATGTAGCCTAATTGCAGCGATGGACTTGTTAGCTGCCCTTCCTCCCAGGTTGTAGACAGCAGCAGCATGCTTCACACATTCCAGCAAAGCGTTCCCATTCTTGGATGATTGGGTCCAAATGACTGAATACATATTTTCACTCGCATTCCAAATTTTCCCTTCACAGCACCGTGCCAGCAGGTTCTCATTGCTGAGCCTACTGACTCCAAAGCAGCCTCAACACAAGCGAACCGAGAATTCTTGTGTGAAAGTGAACTCTATTGTATTTGCCAAGGCTCCATTATACTTGAACCAAGAGGGCATTTTGAGTGGTTCAGCGCATCATCTGTTGACGTCATGTGCAGCAGTGTAGCTTCGACTGCCCTTTTCATACCTGGTACATCGTTGACGTTGCCCCTCAGGGCATATCCATAGTAATTAGTGATCTTCCCGATTTTGTGTCAGCTTTCCTCTTTAGCCAAGAGACTCGCCCGAGCCTCATTCCTGTCTGCCAGGTTCCGTAGAGCTGCACCTATTCACTTGTGGGCATGGTTAATGCAGCCCTTTTTGCATAAAGCCGTACACCTCCGCTTTAGACAAGGCATGAAAAGTGCGGCAGTTTCCATCAGAGAGCACAGTCGTGTAGCGCAGACCATGCGTGGCCGAGGACCTTTGAAACATGATCAGCGCAGCCTCTACTTCCATGCGACTACAGTTGCATTAAGTGTTTCGTTAACACTCGTGGATTGCCAGCCAGTCAGCGAACCCTTCGTCTTGCGGCTGCAGCCTCAGGGCACAGCTGAGACAGCAGTTTCAGTAAACAACATAGTCAATCACAAGACAAGTGTGGAGTTCAATGATGTAGCCTACACCAATGTGAGCTCCGACCTATTGTCATCCTGGAGCCTTCAAAGACAATATCTATGTTTCCTGTCGGGTTCGGGAAGTCTGTACGGAAATCTTTCAAGAACATCACACTAGAAGCTTCACTTTATGTCGTTGTGCTTTCGGAGGCTTGCCCAAAAGTTTTCAGGTGCCGCTGAAACATCTTGTGCAGGACTCGTTGTGAAAGCCTCATACACACACAAGAGACTGGAAGGGTGCTAACCACTTGGCCTATCATTTCTATCCCCCTACAAGACCATCATGTTAACTTTGAAGAGTGTAATGGCGGTAGTTCTCACTCTCGGAGCAGCTGCTTCCTCTCGAAATCACCACTGCTGCAGGCGAAAATTGGCTTCACCACAAAACCGTGCTCTCTATCCTTTGCCTTACACACACTTGCACCTTTTGCATCGCACTCATCATACTTAGCTTGAGTGAAAAAATTATTCAAAACTTCCACATCAACGGTGAAAAAATCAACGCACGTCGTTTCAGCGAGCATGAAAATAATGGGTAGTACACACATTTGTCTGATTGTTGTACTTCTGGCCTTCTTCTGGCTCCGTGTGTGTTTGTGTGGCTTGGAGTTGTTTTTTCACGAAATAAAATTCAGCAAATGTTAAGGGGTTGTGCATCACCAACTTATTTTTTAAGGCTTACCTTTTCAAATTGGGCCACGAAGTTCTAAAGGGTTCGTTCTTTCCTTCGAAACAAAACCGAAACACATCAGTGAACGAAGCCACAAGTGCGATTCGCCGCCCCCAAGTGTGTGTACTACCCATCATTCCCATGATCGCTGAACGATCGCAGCGCCAGAGTCCTGGGACTAGTTAAATTTAGAAAACTCTATGCTCCAGGCATCTCCGTCACGTGGAAAAACTACCAGTGCGAAGCAGACCCAGTGCGCCAAGGAACACACATGAACGCAAAAGCAGATGCACATGAAAGGATAGCCACAGCGGCGAAAGCAATACAAAGTAAAAATTAAACATCATCTCGCCAGCCAATGATAGATGCGGAGCAGCACACTTGAAAAGCAAGCCACATGAGAGTCTCTCAACAAAGTGGAAACGACCATTAGAGAACTCGCAATAGCGGCTGTGCTGCTTCAGCGACGCTTTTTTTGGTTGTCGCAAATTGTGGCCAACGGAAAGACATATTCAAATCTAGCCAATTGGCGGCACTTGACCCGTTGGACAGCTCATTGTGTGTGCGCGCGAAGTTCGAAGAAAGTTTATCCATTTGGGGTCATTTAAGCGCTGCTGAGGCACTGCGAAAGCAGATTTTATTGCGTTTACCAACCTAATTTAGAGTTTAGTGATTTGAGAGTAGCTGTTAAGAAGCACAAGCGCCCTGAAAAAAAATTTGCAGGAAATAAACAAATTTTAACATTTCAAGACTCTCTTTTAGAGTAGGCTTGTGCGAATATTCGAATGCTTCAAATATTCGAATGAATAGTAGAGGATTCGAATTTGCTTCTATTCGACTTAAAATTATTGAATATTTCAAAGTATTCGACATGAACTAATAGATGTATATTAATTGATTGATTTGTGGGGTCTAACGTCCCAAAACCACCATTTGATTATGAGAGAAGCCGTAGCGGAGGGCTCCGGAAATTTTGACCACCTGGGGTTCTTTAACGTGCACCCAAATCTGAGCACACGGGCCTACAACATTTCCGCCTCTATCGGAAATGCAGCCGCCACAGCCAGGATTTGATCCCGTGACCTGCGGGTCAGCAGCCGAGTACCTTAACCACTAGACCACCGTGGCGGGGCTAGATGTATATTAAACCGCCTGTAACTGCCTGTAGAGGTGGTTTCACTGTAATATAGCGATGCTAAGTCCTGAAAGTACCTATCCAGGGAAAATTTGCTCTGCCGCAAAGCCCCACTTCAAATTTAAAGGGGCCCTGGAACACTTTTCGAGCATGGTCAGCAGAAGCTGCCGATCGGTAGTCGAGGCTACTGAGAAAACGCGAGCTAAACATTATAGCGCAGCACGTAACCTGGAATTCACAATAAATTCTCAAAGTCAGATGAAAACTGCTTTCTTCTCTCAGTAAATGACACCACAATGTCAAAAATCGCTCGTCACAGCCAATGTACTGGCCATTGGCTGATTTGAGCATAGGACGTTCGGCCGTTACTGGGGCCACCGCGGGTTGCCGTGACATGTCTACGCGTACATGTGCGATCCCACTGAAAAGCCGTATATTCAAAGGGGAAAAAAAAAGACAGAGTGCTCAAGGTGATGACACGCACGTGACTCATTTTCTTTTCTTATGCCATCTCTCCCGGCTATGCTTCAAGCCTTTTCGTCAGAACGAGAAGAGAGCATGGAAATGCAGCATGTGGAAAATCTTTGCAACTCAGCTCATACTGGACAGATTCTAAAAATTTTTACAGTTATTAATCATAAGGCAATAAGCTTCTTTAGTGAATCCATTTCTGGAAAAACTGTTGCAGGGTCCCTTTAAATGAACGTTATATCCTAAGATCGATTCATCATTTTTTAAGCTTAACACTTTCACTGCAACGCTTATTCAAACCGATCCCTGATCATCGATGCTTTTGAATCGTATATTTTGGCATGTTAAATTTGTTTCTCGTGCAACCAGCACTTTATAGTAGTTAGTCCAGCCGCTGAACTTTCAGAATCAATTTGAATTTGCCCGCCTTGGCAACACAGTGATTTTCAACAGACCTTTGCGCGAACCAATGTGTGTGTATGGTTAGAAAAGTGCCCTAAGCTGGCGAACTTCATAGAAGTGCGTGCCCCTCGTGATTATGCTGCAACAACACCGAAATTCTGTAATGAAAAGAATCTTTCCAAGCCACATATCACAGCCAGCTTCACAAGTTCACTATTTTGAGCAGTAATTATTGCCAGAAATTTATGCCAGCTATTCAAGAGACAGCTCTTCCAAAGAGTAAGAGGAAATTCAGTCTACAAAGAATATCTACCGCATGTTTAATCTGTCGAGATGGCCCTCACCTACAGTTTCCAGCAGCTAGGTTTTGCTTGCATTGTTAGATCAGACCCAGGGTTTCATGTCGTGTCACTATAGTCGCTCCTATGATGTCGTCACACGCGCATGGGTGCGCGCCAGCGCTGCAAAACATATGTGCTGCTCGAAACTGTCTTGCAACCCCATGTGAATAGAGCGAGGACGAGCTTAAAGTTACGAGGATGACAGCACCTCAGCTTCAAGTCTTATGGCGACGATGTTTTGAATCAGCCTGAGCCATTAGCAGCCGTTCATAGGTATGTTTTGTTTACATCCTCAAGTTGTTTTCTCCGCCGTGAGTATGTATAACGTCTCACATTTGTGCACAATCTTATAGCTACTGTGGTTTCG